ATATTTTATTTTACATAAACATTTCAGTTTTAAAATTTTAAAACTATATCAAAATTTTTTGTAAAACTTATTCTCAACAATGCTGTTAACAAAGCTAATTGTGAATTCTAGGATATAATATATCAGAAAAAAATGAATGAAATAATAACACACACATACACATATACACAAAATTCAATTTGGTATGATACAGAAAATATGAAAAAAAACATCATTTACAATAAAGAATGTAACTTTTGTTACTAAAATTATATGACAATTGTTGAAGAGTTCTTTTCGAAAGTTCGTTCTATTCTTTATTGTAAATAATGATATTTCATACTTCTTTTATGTATCGAAATCGATGAACAGTTTCATATCAAACTAAATTGTTAATCGTAGCAATATAAACAAGCTGACAATTTTAACTAAACTATATATATATATAATTCTATAAACTAAGCTTTTTAATCGAAACGCTTTAAAATTATTTATATAATATTTACATAGTTAAAAAGAGATTAGCTTTGTAACATTTTAAACTACATAATGGTACTCCAGTTTTTGAACATGAATATCTTTTTGGATTTTTACATTGTTTTATACCACAAAGAATTTGTTTTGGTTGACTTTTCCTAAAAAAGGTTACAAGAATTTGATATACATATTAAATATTATTAGAAAATTCTTTATAAATCCAATAATAAATAATAATTTTATCACTTACTCTTTGGTGGGAGAAAGTGGAAAATCCTCACCAGGTGGTAAAGATATAGAACTTCCTTCGACTGTTAATCGATATGTTACCAATGGCACCTGTCGCCTAGATAATCTTCCTTTACTGATCACTTTGGATGCTTTAGATTCTTGCTTTTTAAGTAATCTTTCCATTGTCTTTTTCTACAAAAATAATTAAAGAACGTTTTTACTTATAAATTATCTCTATAACGCTTGGCCACAAAACAAAACTTTCAAGAATTTTTGTAAATATTACTTTATCCTTTTCTCTTTTTTCATCAGCAAGTTGTTTTCGCTTTAGAGATTTTAGAGCAGCCTTCTGTATAGCTTCTGCAGTCATGACTTTTTCTTTGTAACCAGTTGGCAATGACATCAGTTGTTCAACACTTGAATTTGTCTCCGTATCAGTTTTTCTCTCAAACATTGCTCTTTGTCGAGCTGTCATTAATTTGGGATCCTTTGGCTTAATTTTTTTTAATTCATCATCAACCTGAAATACAAAATGCATGCTGTTATTTCTTATGATTATTACCAATCTTGTAACCATTATTGCAAGCATATACAAAATAGAAATAGAATGTCAGACATATTTTCTTTAATATTTATACAAAACATCTAAGTAAAATACCTCTTCAAGTTTACCAGACTCGATAGCATCAAGCCATCTTTCTTCTTCACTGCTGGTTCCACTATCTTTACCCTTATTGCTTTTTGGCATTTTCTTTTTTACAGTAGCTTTTGGAGAAGGTGCAGTACTCATTGTAGGTATACTCAATGTTTTCAATACCTTTTCACGTTTCTCCAAACTAGAAAATAATAAGTCATGTAATAATTATTAGTCATGAATGTTCTATATGTAAAAAAAATATATATAAATATTGTTAAGATCATGCAAAATATTATTAAAAATTGTTAAAAAGTTTCTTATTTTTAAATTGTCACAATTTATTCAAATAGTAAATCTTAAAAACAAAACATCGATATATAGTTTTATATATTAGATAAAAGCACAATGAAATATTACCTTCTTTCATCTTCTTTTTTCATTTTTATCTTTTTCTTTTCAGATGAGATGTCAACAAGAGCCTCGCTATCATCATGCATGAGCTTTTTCTTTTTGTGCTTTTTATGTTTATGTTTTTTATGCCTTTTCTGCGATGGAACGTCACTTGTATCTGACAAACATATTAATAATAAAAAATTGCAAAATATATTACTTTTAACATAAGAATTCCATATATATTCTATACAATACAAGATCTGATACAGATACATTGGACACAGAATTACCTAAATTTACATCTTCTTCTGTACTTATATCTTTCGGCTTACCCATTAAATAAAGAACAGCAGCCAAATAACTTAAAAAATAATTCCACGTTTTACGTGGAAATTACATAAGATAAGTTTGCACGATAATTAAAATTGCTCGTCACCATAAAAAAAATAATGAGCCAAAATGACAATTTTAGAGGTTAGAAAATCTGTTTACACCTTTAACTAGTGATGCAATGTTTTCTACCGAGCTCCCGGCTTCAGAACCCCTACAAGCGAGAAGTGCGTATATGCGCTGCGCAGAACGCTTTGCGCAGCACATGTACGCGCTTCTCGCTTGTGTGAGGCTCAGAAGCAGAGCTGCCAGTTTTCCCCGGAGAGCACGGACTAAGGAATAGAGGGACGAAGCCACGGACCATGATGTAAGAAGATAGGTGTACCATTGCCGTGAATGCGCAGTCGTCCAAAGTAATGATCGCTCTTCGACCAATCAGGAATTGGTCCAAAATGCTAAAAAGTAATATGGCTGCCAAAATATGTTGACACGGGGCTTGTTCGTTTTAGCTACACTGGGGCTGCTCTGGGTCTGCTCTACACAGGATAATACAGAACAGATAAATAGTTTGTCCTGTATTATCTTGTTTAGAGCAGACCCAGAGCTGCCCCAGTGCAGCTAAAACGAACAAGCCCACGGTTGACACCGAAGGTTATTAAATATAATAATATTAAAAGATATTTAAAAACTATGCCAACGTGTTGTGTAAAGAATTGTATAAGTCGTACTGATCATACGAGATATCATAAGAGATATTAAATATATGTATTCACACATTTGTGTTGGAAACACTTAATTTTCTATATAATATTTATTAATTGATATTATTTATTATTGTGGGTAATTGTCATTTATTGCTACTGTATTTTATATTGCAAATTTATTATTTTTATAAGATATTTTTATAAATTTTAATTACATTTTAATATGATAATTCTATATTAGAATTTCGCGGATGCATTTTGGACCACGTTTGATTGGCTGTCCTATCATGCTGACGTCATACGGCTGCCATTATGCGCAATGGTACACCTATCTTCTTACATCATGGATGAGATCTTCAGTCTCGCTTGGTCTCGCTCAGCGAGACTCGTTGTGATAGTTGGTAACAGTGATATTATAATTAATGGGAGGTTATAGTGCATAATGGCTAACAAGTGTCGTACGAAAGATAAGAGTCTAGTATTAATAAAATCAAAATTATTTGGGAGGATATATGTGTGTGTGATCAATAGTCGATGAGATCGTCAGTCTCTCACTGCGACGCTGTACCTTTGTGGGGAGGTTATGGTGAATAACAGCTAACAAGTGTCATACGAAAGATAAAAGTCTAGCATTAATAGAATCAAAATCATTCGGAGGGATATATGTGTGATCAATGGTCGATGAGATCGTCAGTCTCTCACTGTGACAGCGACGCTGTACCTGGGGAGGTTATGGTGAATAGCAGATAACAAGCGTCATACGAAAGGTAAGAGACTAGCATTAATGAAATCAGAATTATTAATCGCACTTATCAACTTTACTGCGATGCACGATACGTAAATCTTATATTCTAGAATTCTAGAGCACTTTTTTGTTTAAAGTATAAGATTTCAATGCATTATAATAAGGAAAATGTGCTTTCCAAAGATCTAGGTTATGTCAAATTAAAAAGGTGATGTCTAACGTTGACATAACTTTCTGAAATACATCTTAACATTTTAAACTATTTCTTTCCTTAAAATATAAAATTTTTATAATACATTACAGTAAAGAAAATGTGAATTCTAAACTTCTAAGCCTACCAAATGTTATGATATGAGATTTTAAGGCATGAAAATAAATGAAATATGCATTTTAACATTAATGTACTTTTTATTCATTTTTATGGTTTAGAATCTTATATCAAATCATTTGGCAGGCCTAGAATTTTACTGCAATGTATTGAAATCTTATATTTTAAAGAAAGAAATAGTCTAGAATGTTAAAATGTACATTTTATTTATTTTATTCACATTAATAGTATACTAAAAAATGAAACAGTTTAATATTATAATATAAAATAATGGTGTAAATAATTATTTAAAAAACTCGCATTCTACTAATTTAAATTGTTAAAAAGCGGACTCAAGCAAGACGTTTTATCCTTATCTGGTAGTTGTCATGGGCGTAAATCTTAATTTAATCGTATTATTAATTCTGTTCTTATTTTTTTTATTTTTCACCAATTTAGAAAAAAAGATAAAAACGCTTCTTTTATTAAAATTGTCATTTTTTCGCTTTCAAAGTCCCGAAATAAATTCGAACATCATATCACTCTACAGATAAAATCTCGTCGCAATTGTAATTTTGTTTCGTTGGCAATTTGTTGCTTTCATGAAACACAATGTGCATAAATAAGCATGTATTAATGTTTATCATATGTGCATATAAGTATAAATAAGATATATGTTATTATCGATATTTTATTGCAAGCTTCGTAAAAACAAAAGGAATTAAAACAATAAATTAATATTTGTTTATCAAACGTTCTTTCAAGTCAATACCTTTTTATTATATTGACTATTTCATTTTTTAATCTGCACATTTAAATTAAATTTGCTTGCTTTTGCAAATTTATTTATAATAAAGCAAATTTATAATAATTAAGATTAACAAGAATCATTCGGTGAAATTAATTTAGATCGTGATGATTTAATTGAAGTGATAATTGATATTAATTTGTTATACGAATATGTGTTGTTAAATTGCTACATCTCGTATATATTCACGTTATATCTCGATTGATCAGAACAAATAAAACTGCTCGCGCTCGTGATCTGTTATTCGGCGATTTCTCGCGATAACGGACGGTCTATCTCGTTTTATCCACAGCTTCCGGCTGAGGCAAACTTTCATAAAAGAATTCAAATTAGCCGACCACGTCAGAATTTAACTATTCTCGATTCGGCGGAGCTGGCTGATGAAATTTTCGCCCAGAGTATTGAACCCATGCCCGTTTCTCTGCTTCTCGCTCACCTCTTCCCAATCGAAGTCTACGTGTGCCTTATTTTTGTACTATCGATTTAGCCTGCTTTGACGTCGGATTTTGCATTATTCAGCAATTCCTTCTCAGCTTGCGCGAGCTTTCTCTTCGCACACACAAGTATGTTACACACGTTATAGCGGTACTTTCGCATTAATCCTGGCCGAGCATGTCACCAGCTCGCCTACTTGCACTGTCGACGCGAGCACCCTGGCTCGATATTAAGTATTCCAGTAAATTACGATTCCAAGAGAAGGTTGATTTTTCCAGGGATAATCCGAAATAAAATTTCCCGCATTTTTCATTTCTCGCAGAATTTATACAAAAATTATTTTTCTTATCTCTTGTGTGCAAGCTATTTATCTTGAAGAAAAAAATAAGTTTAAAATTATATTGCAAGAAAAATTATGAAGAAAATATAGTAGAATTATAATTGGAAAGAGATACAATGTTTTTATCGTTTTTTTTTTGTTTTTATTTAATTTCTAAATTATTATATTCATAATTGGAAACAAATATAGTAATCAATTGAAAGATATTAATTATCGTCATTAATCATAATCATTATTAATCATCATATGTTCGTTCTCTGATCAGTTATTATTTTCATTCTATTATGTATAAATTAATGCCGAAATAACAAGCGGATTTGTTTCCTTTTGTAATTAAATTATTAGTGATTGCTCCAACAATGCAATGATTTTCATATATATGACATACGGTTTTATAATCTCTCAGTGAGAAATATTGTATATACAAATCTCTATGAGAGTATGCAGTAATATAAAATATAATTTCAATATGATAAACCTATTGTATATTATTAGTGACAAGAAATTGAAAACTTACAATTGTTTGCAATAAGTTTTAAATAGATATGCTTTTACGGACTATAGTAAAAAAGTGGATATTCGTAGAAAATAGCGATAGCGAGCTTCACTTGCACATGACATATGCTTGGGAGTTGCTTTGCACCGACGTAAAATGTCGGTAAACATATCGTGTGTGCGACATGTGCATCTGATAGTTGATAAACACGTCTCCATTTAATATCAGAATTATCTAGATCGTGATAACATTGGTTATTGGAAATTTGGTAGTCACCTCTTCTTCTTAATATTGTACTCGAAATAATTTTGCGGCGCGTTTGGAAAACATTTTTTTTTTTAACTTAAACGGAGCATAAATGAATAGCTTGGCGTCTTACAATTTGTATAAATTATTTTTATATTATATACTAAAATATTCAAGCATCGTGGATGTTATCCAAATTATATTTTAAGAGTTAAAAATTAAATGCAAATGTAAAACGTTTTTCTTTCATATCTAGCGCGTCGTTGAAAATTTCTGGGAAACTTTTATTCCATAGACGCGTGCGTTATTACCGCATCGCGGTGCGTTTATTTTGTTTTGCGCAAAGTGTTAGGTAAACAAATTCACATCGTGCGCTTTCTCCGTGATCGCAGTTGAGATGCCGCGGACAAGTATTACAGATAAAGCGCGTAACGCATGTTACTATCTAAACCGTGCGACAGTTCCGACGGTGACACATTCCGTTTATGTAATATTAATTCTGTTGGTTTCCCTTGATGAACACTCGGACGATTTTGCACGCAGCGAGAAGCATGCACGATGATGTATTATATTCTCGTAATAAATATCGGGGCTTTGTGCTTCCTCATATTAATTACGATCAGGGATGCGATATTTCCTACCGGGCTCCTGGCTATTGAACCTCACACAAGCGAGAAGCGCATATATGTGCTGCGCAAAGTGTTCCGCGCAGCACATGTACACGCTTCTCGCTTGTGTGGGGCTCGGAAGCCGGGAGCCCGGTAGGAAACATCGCATCACTGATTACGATTAATATTTCTATAACGCGGCAAAAGCCCAAGTGATCGCAACTTCAATCGCAACTTCGCTCCTTTATCTCTATCAAACGAGCGTCATTGTAGCCGACTATATCACCGGATACATCAATATTGATTAGCGCCGACCATGATTAATTAAATTCGCGCCTGCTATCTATGTTACGAGTGGATCTGTGAGTGATGAGTGGAAAATGACGAAGAATTTTTACACTAAGATTGTTGACGCACGTATAAGAAATTACTATACATACGCACATAAATACATAATCTTTTGCAAAAGTGAAAATTAAAAAAGATAATAATACTTCGATAATAATAATATCAAAGAGGAAACTATTAATAAAACAAGTATTATTAGCTTTTATCGAGATTATATATATCGATAGAAAAATGTATATCCTTCTATTTATACGAAAAGCCATTTATAAATTTTTGCTGTTGTAAAATTTATAT